ATCAACATTTGGAAGATCAAACAGCAGCTGTAGTAGAAATTTTTTCCATCTGTCTCGGTTTCTTCTTCGATGTAGGGACCTTACAATGATCATTTATGCCTTTGTTACTTTGGGACTGTATGGCTGCCTGCACTCCACATGGACGCCACTTTAGGATCATTTGAAAAATTAAGGTAGTGCAGAATGTAACAGACTGACTTTTTTACTGAATGAAGCACTGATGATAAAACACCAACATTTCAGAGTCTGCATTGCTTCCAATGATTTTCTAAGATGGACTTCCAAATATTGGTTTTAATCTCTGAAGTCCTTAATGGCAAGAGGCCCAGTTACCTGAGAAACTCTGATTTTGTGCCACATTACCACAGACAGAAATAATACCTTTGAATTTCATCTGCAGTCTTTTCTGTACAAATGAAATGAAAAGCAAAGCAAACAGCTATCTACTTCTCAAACACTCTTCCTTTTCTGGCTGACAAGTGGGAAATCTTATAAATCTTCTGAGCATTCTTCAAAGTCCGTATTTTCTCGAAGACATATATTTAGTGACAATACAAATTGCAGACTGAAGAGATGGAGGTTTCAGAATGGTTTAAATGACTTCTTAGAGTACTCTCCTAAGTTTGGGGCATGTACGTAGCTTTTGAGACTGAAAATTCAGAGTGACAAACTTGTTACTATTTCACTGAAAAAAATAAAGTTACTTGCTTTATTTGTTTGCTTTGAGTTCTGGAAGCTACTTGGAGTGCTGACTAGTGGTCAGAGAGATTAAAGGTTGACAACAATTATCAACCAGAAACTAGCATACCCAGGCCAGAAATTATCCTGGCAGCTACTGCCAAACAAGAAGCAAGATTTTCTGTTAAAAATCTGCAGATCAATGGAAGGTAAATGAAAGTGGCTGCTATTTAAATCTTGGGTTTCATTACAGTGGTGTGATAGCCAGAACATTTAATGTTCTGTAAGGCTGGAGCAAGAAATAAAGGTTCCTTGAATTTACATGCTGCAACTGCCTGCTCAGTTCTCACTTGTTTTTCTCACAGCCTTTCAGAAGAGTGAGAAAAATGCTTAAGCAGAATATAAGAATATGGAACCAAAGGTGCCAGGTCCGACAATGACTAGGTGTCAGTTGCTTGAGGCATGTGCTCGCATAGTGTTCTAAGAAGAGTTTTAAGTCATTTCCATTCTACCTAAACTGTTCTCCTAGTTCTTGCTCGAGGTTGCAATTTAAGCACTCCTCCTTAAATGAAAGCACTGTATCTAGGTGCAGATGGCAACAGTTACAGGCACTAACCAGATGCTGCAGTCTCTAATTTGATTGAAAGGGTATAATTAGACAGCAGAAACACTTCAATGAGAGAGTAATGCACAGAGGAAAGGACAGAAACCACTTAACTGATGCCAAGATACCCCAGCAGAAACAGAGGCAGGGGCCCACGGATGGAAGGGGCAGAACACCAAATTACCTTCTTCAGATGAGAACATTTTTGTTTCCCTGTGGATGCGAATAGGGATTCTATTATCATAGGTTGCCACAGTTCTTCATGTGGGAACACTGATTAAAACCAGAAGAAGCTTCAGGAGATCAAAGAGACAAATATGGCTTCTGTGGTCATTATTAAAAATATTTTTAGCAGTGCAATGGTTTTCTTTGAAGATGCAGTTTTATCGATGAGACCAAAAGTTCATTTGCATACTGTCATATGATTGGTCAGGAAAAAATAATCTCATTCCATATTATGTTATGATGCAAAATAAATGCTTTTGGGAAGTATAAGGCTGTTTGAGACCTACCCAAGTGAAAAATTAGTGTAGCGTTTTTACATTTCAAAACTTTACTATCCCAATTAATACTAATATAACAAAAGCCCTTATCAAAACTATCAGGCCTGGGTGCCTATACTGTAACAGTAAAAAACCCCACAACACAACAGTTGATACGAACTAAAGAAAAAACCTCAGGAAAGAATGATCTTTGTTTAAAATCGCAATTTTCAAAAGTGCTAGAAAATAACTCCCCATTTGGTAAATCAGCCAGTTGAATTCTGATGTGATGCTATGAGGGCACTTGGTTAGCTGATTATTTCTCCCTTGCAGCGTAGGGGCACTCTGCGTGTACTTTAAAAATCACCTCTCTCATTCTACGTATCCGCGCAGACACACAAACGCACACACAGGCATACACATATAATTTTTATAGTCCTCAAATGCAATCATTTTTGCTGGTCAGAACTAGAGTCTTATTTAGCGTTGGTCCAAACCAGAGAGTAGTCACAGTGAATGACATTTGATCAAACCTTGACTTAAGCATCTGTCTGTCCTTTAAGAATGTACATTCCTGGGAATGTACAGACATGTGGAGTTCCATACTTGTGCTCCCTGGCAGTGTGTGAGTTGTTATATGTGTGAACTTGCTATTCTTGTGAAACTTTGATTACTAACCTTCAATCTAATAACTTTTTCACCACTTTTCCTTTTTTGTTTTTAGAAAAAAAAAAAAAGGTAAATGCTATCTGACTGGCCAGACCCTTTCTAGAATATGTTGGAAGCAGGCAAATTAGCATATGAGCATGAGAGGTAGTTACCATTATTTCTAACACTTAAAAGTATGTATTTTGTACCTTTTTTCTTTTTTATTCATACAATACAAACATGCTATATTAGCCACAGCTTTGCAGCTGCTGGCTGGTCCTCAGCCACAAGACACAAACACACTTGCTTGTCTTGTGATTCTTTATCACTGGAAGTAAGAATGCATGATGTGGTCCCATAAGAATTTCTGTTCCTTAATACACCCATTTGTTTTTTTTCTTTGTGAAGTTTTAAAACTGTTGTTCCATTGTCAAGCGTGGCAGACTGAATCCCTTTGGAAATTTTATCAGGATGGGCCATAGCCACTGTGTGCATGGAGGGACTGGTCAATTGCACAACCATTATGGTGTGATATGACAAAGAATGCAAATTTTGCAGCTGGCAGCATGTAATCCCTGCCTCCCTCCCACTTCTTTGGCTCCATCCTGCCTAAATCCATTCACATAACTCTGGATTTTGAGTTACGCTCTATGCATGTACAAGCATGATATGCTGAAGAGTCGGACTATTTCATTTTCTATCTGTCTGGTTAGAAATGCTTTTTCGAGTATTTCCACGACGATTGCTTAAGGCATATCAAGTAGAACTGCTTCTCTGAATCAGCAAGACATGGGCAGAAAAAGATGACGAGATACAAGGTTTGTGAGAGAAGGCTGAAATAGCAGCTCAAAGGAAAGACTCAGCTGGGAAGAAAACCGAGGACATTGTGACCCAGTATTGCTAAATGGAAAGAAAACACAGAAAGGAAGAAGAGACTGACAATCATATACATTTCTGATTGGGAAATTAAATGAACACTATAAATACAGAAACTAGAAGTGAGAACTTCTTGCACTGAGTATATAAAATAACATTTGTTCACTGAAACTAACATTTGCCAAAGGCATTTCCATCTCTTTGGCCTTGTAATACAAAACTCACCAAATTCAGACAGCCCTTTAATGTTAGGCAATCTATTCACCCATCTCTTATTTCTGATTCACTTGAGAAATGTGGTATGACTGAAGTTTGAATGCTGCAAATGTCAGTGTTTGGATTAATAGAAACTGTTGGACATCACACAGCAAAGCAGAAACATTCTGTGAAAAGTAGCACAGTACTATGTGCAAAAACGATTGTTAACTCACTCTAATTTCTGACAATTCGAGCCATTTTTCATAAGGCAATTCCAGAAGTTAAAGTTTCTCTCCTGTCTTAGCAAATGATGGTGTGACGCAGTCTGTATTTTGACTGCATTTTACAATAAACTTATTAAGACGTGCATTTGATAAAAAATGAATAGGCATTAAAAACATACCATATGACAAACTGCCTTGCAAAAGAAATATTAGTGTTTGTCATTTCAGAATTCTGCTAGCTTCAAGTGCAACCTGACCCAACTGATCCCGTTTTGGTCCTGTGGGATTAAGGGTCAAGAAGAAGATCCTGAGGTATGCTTTGTGCAGATCAGCAGCTCTGCAGATTTTGTACATGCCATACAAATTACAGGTCTTGGTTAAGTGTAGATTTGCACTGATTCCAGGTTCTTCAGCAGAAGACACATAGGTAGCAGTGCTTTCTAGATCCATTCTCCTTTGCTACCTCTTCACTCAGAGGCATTATATATTCTTCCCCCCTCCCCTCGCCCCAGCTGCTTGTGCTCGGGCATCTCTGTCCCCTTAGTGGCTGCCAGTGCATGCAGTTAGAAGTTGGCTAGAGGATGGAAGTGCAGGTGCGGAAACATATAGAATCCTCTCAATAGCCTATGAACCAAACATTCACACTGGGATATACCCTCCACTTTCTGTCATACAGCCTGCTGTGAGGGACATGGTCACATATGGAGTGTTCGGTCCGCAGTGCTGCTCAGAAACCTTACAAGGCATTCTTCAACTTAAGCAAAGCAAGGAGTACCTACAGTGTGCACCAAACGTGCCCTAATGGTACTGGGAACAGACTGTTAGACATGGTCTAGATATGTCCCTGTCTAGGCAGCTCTCTACATGCTTATCTGAAAATACTCTCACGCTTTACTCACTTCAGGTAACTTCTGAGAAGTTGTAAAGTTTACCATCTGAGTTCTCTTTCTGGTAAACGGCTTTTTTTCCCCCGAGAAAGTCTATGTAAGTATTTTCCAAATCTAACTAAGTGCATCTACAAAAACTTGATGAGCAAGTGTCTGTTCATGGCAAAAGGAAGTTGAGCAAATTCTATGTTATAAAGAACAACAACAGTTAGAATATGCAAAATGTATCCAGGAGGGCCATGCATCTGATGGCTGTGACACTGTGATCATCTGGAACAGCCACTTCAGATCTTGCGAAGCAGGGTCAACGTTTATCAGAGGAGAACCGTGGTACTTGAAATCATCAGTAACAACTGAGATGAGGACAAAAGGGTGCAGAGAAAATTTAAGTGACAAATCCCACTAACAGGTAGCGAAGCTTCAGGCTTCCCAGACTCCTTGGCTGAACGAGAACCTGAATGGCCTGAGGAGCCCATGCTCGACAGGCAGCTGGGGCAGCACGCTGCAGACAGGCGAGATGGCCACCCTCCAAGCTCTGGCTCCGCAGCCCCGATTCTGCCCTGCTGCCACTGGTTATTTCATTTCCCAGTGAGTAAGTGTACCCACACCCCGCACTCCCCTCTCCCTGCAGATGCCTCCGTTCTGCAGACCTAGCTACCAAACCACTTTGATAGAGAAATGTGCCGCTCTTCGTCCTCTCACCTCACGCTTTCGTACAGGTTTCCGAGCTCCCGGCTCAGCGAGCACAGGGAGATCCTCAAATACCCACACGCTGCAAACTGCGCACGAAAACACCCCCTGCACGTTTGCACGAGCAGCTTCGCAGCTGCGACCGACCTGGCGAGCAGGAAGGGACGTCGTCGCGACCTCGAAGAGGTGCTGCCGGGCGGCAGAGCCCTTCCGCGGGAGGCTGCGCGCCAGCCGCAACTCCGCGGAGGTCGGGACCGCCCAGCTCCCTCCCCGCC